AGTTTCATTTCGTTGTATGTATTTTTACCACTTTTTGTTCTGACCTCCCCATTTCATGTTTATTTTTATTAACGTGTTACTGTATTTTAAAGGGTTTAACTTGTTTCGCTTTATTCATCATTTCGTATCTGTAGATTTTGTAAGTAATCAAGATTCTTACTTTATATCGTTTAATATTTCATCTTAAAGGTTTTCATTTGCTTATGAGTTTTGTACTATATTTCACGTAGATTAAAAATTTAATTTGAGTGTACTTTTGACTTTAAAGTTTTTTTTAGTTTATTTGGTTATATATTATTTGTTTAGGTAGTTGCATGTGTTACTTTTAGTTTATTTTGATATATGCTATTTGTTTAGGTAGTTGCATATGTTACTTTTAGTTTATTTGGATATATATTATTTGTTTAGGTAGTTCTATGTGTTACTTGAGGACTTTCGTGATGCATCTGGAGTTTTGTTTAGGGCTCGTTTTGGTTTACTCGTTACCATGTTATGCTGCTGTATTAAAAATTAAATTGTTTTTTGTAAAAAAAAAGAAAAAAAAGAAGACACTTCACCAACTCGATCTAGTTCATACCATAATAAAGTGCAAAAGGTCCGTCGGCACTGGAGACGTAAGTGATAGTGTGTTTGCCATTGTTATACATTCTCAGCGTCCAGTCTAAACGGGATTTGTAATTTTCATGAGAGTTATTCAGATCGCGACTTTTTAATTTAGTGTTAAATATAAACTAATGTCGACTTCAGAATCAAGCCTACGACAAGGGGGTCTAGGTTTTAGTATGCAAATACCACGTGTTACTCTCCTATAGTATTTGTTTCCTATTTACAAAATTCTTAAATTATTCAAAGTTGCAAAATTCTAAATCCGGGCCCCTCGATCAGTCAGCGGTAAGGCTGAGGGCTTATAACGATAAAAGCTGGTTTTTGATATTCTAAATGGGTATAGCAGAAATAGCCCATGCTGTAGCTTTGTGCTAAAGAAGAAACAAAGATTAATCCAGTGCACAAAATTTAGCCTAAGTCGTTACATTTTCTTGTTTAAATGGTTAATAAACTTATCTGCTGTTTCTCGGAATAGTTGCATTGTCTCCTAGTTGACCTTGTGTTTGGAACACCTTGCGACAGTCAGGTGGAGCAGTGCTAAATCCGCATTTCGGTTCCCTTTTTGTTATTGGTGAGCTGCAAAGAGAATGTGTATTGTGACATGTGAGTGAAGTCTTGACAGTATCAGATTAGCTTTGACTTTTAAGAGATTCACTTCTGCTATGGTAGTCCCTTTCTTCTTTCACTTTATGTCTGTGCCTGCTGCTCTTGCACATCTTTTTTAAATTCATTTTACTCGGAAGTTAAGTTTGTTTTACTTTATCTTTCCATTAGAATATAGTTTATTTTATTCCTTCATCATCTTCACACCGTAATAGTCGCATCTGTCATGATCAGCTGCTCTTACATTTTATTTTGTTTTACATAAAGTATTTTCCTTACTTCAGACTTAAACAACGTATATTTTATCTTTCATTCCATCTGCAACAAATCGCCAGACCCCTCATTCTGCGTATGAGAACCACAAATCTTCTTTTTGCAGAGACTGAGTGACTGTGAGCTAGGTGTATCATTGAATTACTAAAGCGGCACGTACAGCAATTATCCTAAGAAATTCTAACACCTAACTCTTGTAAAAAATACTGGTAGTTAAATGATAATTTAGTAATCTCATATTCGTCTCTAATGTAAATAGTATCCCAGAACGTAAACCAGAAATATTAACTCATAATTTATGGAAATAGTACCTCTATTAATTGAACTAGGAAAGGTAAAACTGATTTGTTTGAACATAACTCAAGTAATGGAAAAAAAAAAAGAAACGTAACACCTGCTATTTGTTTGAACAGCACCCCACTAATTGAGTAAAGAAACCTAACACCTCTTCGTATTGATTAAACTACTAACTGCATATTTTTAATTGCCTGAGAATTACTTTAAGATTTCTAACAATTACACTTTATTCAAATAATACTGTAAATAATAAAAACTTAGAAAACACCAAGATGTATTGCTTGTGTAAACAAAGTACTTTAACCTGGAAAACTGAAGTATGTAATTTGTTTGAACAGTAATCTAGTAATTAAATTGAGAAACTCGGCATGTTTCTATGTGACCGTACTCAAGAAACTAAACTGTAAAACCAAACTGTGTCATGTTGTTACGTATTAGAATTTCAAATATCCTAAAATTGCGTTAACTGATTATTCAAATTTAGTAGTTAAATTGTACTTTGGATTTAGTAGTTAAGTAAAAGCCGATATATAGTCAGTTTATGATATTTGCCAACAAGCTTGATACACACAGTTTTCTTTTTTGAAACAGAAATACGTTTTAATATACACACAATAACACAATACATTAAAACAGTTATTACAAATAGTTATTACAAACAATGATTTATAAACAAAAGTTTCACAAACTTACAAGCAATATAAAGTCTTCTTTCTTGTCTGGAACTTCCTTGATATTGTTACGACAGCGGAAGTCACGTGACGCTAGTAACACGTCATGATATTCTCGAAGGTTCGTGAATGCTCGAATGTTTGCTAAATGTGCGGTATTCTTGTATATAAGTGTGCCAGACAATGAATCGATATAGAATTGCAGACAGACAGAGACGGACAATTGAGTCAAGCGCGGTAGTAAGTAAGTGCGTGAATCGTTCGTTGTAAATTATAGCGTGTGTTTAAGTTAAATTGATTGTGGAAATTAAGTGTATTGCAAAGTTGTATTGAGAAAGAATAAACTAGTTTTACTTAAGAAAGGACTTGCATCGCTAAAGTTTTTCGGAAGGAATCTTTACGGGAAATTAACAAACGACCAGAGACGTAACAATATCTTGTCGAGGATTCACGATGAGCGAGTTGATTACCAGTTGACGGAGATATATTACACTTAACGGGAAGCTAGCTAGCTTTGTCCTTCACTGATCACACGCCGATTTTTCCACCGGTGACGTTAGGTAATATTATCGTAAAAATACTAATGTCCGATGAGAATCCACTGAAGTTAAATGAGTTGTAATGTTCCTGGTCAAATATCTCAAGTTTTCTGATTGGTAAGCGATATAATAATCACAGCTATAGCTTCCGTAGTTTTATAGCACCCTGATTATAGCGAACTAATAATAGGTACTCTCTTTGGCACGTCACGTTGGTTATATTTATAGCCGAGGGAAGGTTTTCTAGAAAATTCAGATTACATAACAATACAGTTTAAGTGTTTATGTAAACATATATATTGTTGATTCTTACTCTGGAGAATTTTCTACAGCTTTGGAGAATAGGCGGGAGTTTCGTAATACATACTTAATAGTATAAGCCATTTATGTTTCTAAATATAAATGTAATCTAAACAACCGTTGATATTCAAATAAATATATAATAAATTCGTTACAATATTTAAAAAGACACCTTTAAGAGGGAACCAAATAACTGAAGTTGATTTCTTGTGGACACAAGTACCTTAAAAATTATCTCAGGAATTCTAAAATACAAAGTAATTAAATTACCAATTCTAAGGTTTTTTATCACAGTAATCTAATCAAGACATCTAAAGCATCTCCTCTGTGCACATTATTATTTCAGTGATTTAAAGAGGGATGCTAACCCATGTCTTCTCTATTTACAGTACCCTGTATTTTAGCAGAGAAAGACTTTTGAGATGCATGTTTTTATTAACTAATTTGTTAAACAACACTACTGATAGAACACATTATTATATAATCTATAAAGGTGATTTAATGACATTTTATAGAACTGTGTAAAGAAAAATAAAAATTGTGTTAATGGAATGTATAGATCTTTCTTAGTACTGGAGATTTGTGTATGTAGTGTGATAAATTCAGGAACGTAGTAGAGAGATGAACTATTTAAAAGAACACATTTGCATGTCAGCATGAATATTTTATCTTGATTTGTTAAACATGCACCAAAATGCTTAAAAATAGTTTCTCAATAAAAGAAAATAAGTGATATCATTTAAGAGTATATAGCAGTAGTTGCCAACTTTCTAAACTAAGCTAGCACTAAGTATGTTTCTGTTGTTTTGCTTTTTTAAGAACACTTAGGTGCCCCAGTATATTTAAAGAGTGACGGTTTTCACAGCCCGTGTTCTAGCTACGTCTTTACTTTCATTTGACAAGTTTTCATACGCTTAATCTAATTATGTATTGAATTAATTTTCTTGAATAGGATCTGGATTGAAAACATTATTTCTCTACTATTGTATGTACCAAATTCTGGTTTTCAAAAGATCGTCCTATTTCCATCAAGTATATAAGCTGGCTACTTCCCAAATAAAGCAGATAGTCTGCTGACATTGCATCTTACTCAGCTTTTCTATCTCAGGATTGAAAAGTTAGGGTATTTAGAAACGTTGTAAGAGGAGTAGAAGTAAGCTCATTTTGCTTTAGAGATTATTTTACTAAATAGATCTGTTAATTTCAAGAAACTCATCAAATGAGTTTCGGTTAAAACATAGTGGCTTAAAATACACTTGTTTCTGTGAAAAATTATTGATGTTACTAACTTATTTATTACAAAGAACAATACAAACAACGATGGTGTAATCGTTTAAATCCCTACCTTAAATTTAATGACAATTAGCAACTTTTCTGTCCATACTTATCGCTTAATAAAAAACAAAAAGTAAACATTTCTGCTTATCAGACTTGTATGAATCTCAGAAGACAGTGAAAACACATGCTTTACTAAGATGAGTGATACAATTTTACAGACTTGATTATCAAACTTGAGTTAACGGCCAAAAATCAAAATCACTTTAACAGTCAAAATGCAGTCTTGGTTTAGTGTTTGAAGGTTTGCTTTACTATTTTGTATCCAGACTTGCCTTAATTATCCGAGTTTCTTTCACGTGCATTCATTTTTTAACACAACATCTAATTCACATTTACAATAATTTAAGATTTAAGTATAATACTCTATTTTCAGCCGCGAATTAGAAACACAAGTGGAGCAATTGACTCAACGTGTTAGAGATGCTGAAACGCGTGTACATACTGATGTCAAGGAGATGAAAAACAAAATGCAAATCGAGATTACCGAGGTTGGAATGTTGCTGGATGAAGCGATGAAACATAATGAAGAGCAGCAGAAAGTAATCAAGAAGCAAGCCAAACGATTAGCAGTAAGAAATTCACTTATCTTTTTCTACTGATTTATCCATTTATATATATATATATTACTAATAACTAATTCTTATATTTGTATATTTATTTTTCAACTAGGAGCTTGAATCACATTATGATGAAGTTCATCGCCATCTACAGGAAGATAACGAACTTTTAGCTTCTTCTCAGCGCAAGTGTCAGGCCCTGCAAGTAGAAGTTCATAATTTGAAGCGTGGCATGGATTACGTAAGTTTTTAATCAGTGTTCTCTTACAGTTCCTTGAAATGAAACTCAAAGTTGGTATTTTTAGGTGAAACTGATTTCCTCCAAGAGTGCACTACATGACAAAACAATAGGTAGTAGAAGTAACAGTAACTTATCCTTCTTGGCCAACGTATTTTGTGGATTTCTTTTTTTTATAGCAAAACCACATACGGCTATCTGCTGTGTCCAACGAGGGGAATCAAACCCCTGATTTTAGCGTTACAAATCCGAAGACTTACCGCTGTCCCACTGGTGGAACGTTATGGGGAAACTGCAAAAACCTGCACATATAACAACTTTTAATTCTATATTAATAGAAGGAGGTAGAAAAGACGTGGTATTCTTATATGCTACAATGCTCCTAATTTACTGAAAATATAATTTAATTTTAACAAAAAATGAAAAGTAAAAGTACTGAAGTTTAAAAACACGAAAATGACATTGTTAAAATATTTTTCAAAAAATTTTATTTATTAATGGGATACGTGATACTTTATTAAAAACACCAATTTTGCTTTATTTATCTCTCTAGCATGCCACTGTTAAGTCCCCTAGCAAATACCCGTGATTATCAGCTACTCTACCGTGTCATCTGGAGTTTATGAGCTGTTTGCGTGAGTTTCAGCTTATGTAGTAAGTTTCTCTGTTTATCTAGAAAATAAAGGAAATAAATACTACTTTTAAGTAAGTTTCGATAGTAAAATAAATGCTCGATTAAAGCTTGGAAATATTGTGCTTAACCTAAGATGTATAGCGAAATCCCTCCTCCTAGTACACTATCATTACATGGACATTAGTAGGTTACACTAATGTTTATTCACCAAATTATTTTACTAGATGCAATATTTTAGATGTATTTGTTTTTTTACCATTCTACTCATTTGGTTGCTAAATTCATAATAAAGTAAAAGCTAGAAATTTGTTCTACATAGTTATAAATTATTTTCTAATTTTTGGGAGTATATCACTCGGAGTAAAGGTAATATTGCGAAAAGCAGTAAGATTAAAAATTCAGCACATTTTGATCATTATTTGTATTGTAAATAGTCGTTTAAGGTCATATGTTCAAAATAATCAAATCTACACTTCAACATTAGAATTGAATTTTTATGAAAACGAAAACTTCAGAGTGAAGTGGTATTTTCATATTTCCTGTATATCTTTTTACCATTGCAGCACAGTACAGAGGTGGCACAAGACAAGTTGTGTATAAATGTATAGGTGGTGGGAGAACTATAGAACCTACAATTTTGCTAGCTGGTGCAGATGAAAACCTGCAGAACATAGTTATGAAAATATGATCATAGGTGACGCTAGAATGTAGCCTATACCGTATTTGATTATCACTTGACATCATTGGGAATTAGAGTTTAAATATGATTTGTCAGATCTCAACTAATCGATCAGTACGATCATTGCTACTATTCAATGTTAACACATGATCAAACAATCATTCATCATTATGTGATGCTCGTCACTGAAGATATGCTTTATACTGCTGTCTATCATGTCCTACTTCGCCTGAAGTCTGGTTTTGAAATGAACGAAGGGTATATAGAACACTTGATGAGGCTTGCATTGGCAGTAACGTGTTCTTAATTTGAAATAGTAAAAGTTATTGTATTTCACGGTCATCTTGTGTTCCGTATATGTTTCCATACTCCATTACAACTGGAAAATCTGTAGGTTGCATATATCTCTCTCTCGCTGCCTATACGTTTATACCCTTACTTATTGTGTATTAACCTTATATTTCATGGATATTGCTTAAGTGATAACTGTCAATAGAAGAGGTACATTTCTTTAACGTATTAACTTCTCTAAAATGAGTTTATTTAAAAAAAATTTTGAATGTGGTTTTGATCTGTAGAAACGCTTCTACCCCCCCCCCCACACACACACACTTTGTTTTTTGTTAAAACAGTATAAATGAAATGATGTTTCTTAAGTATTAAATTACTTTTCTACAACTAAGTGTGAAATTTTCATTATTGAGATGCGAATTACATTAGCTGAGTATAAATGCTTTTTCTTTTCAGACTTTCAATCAAGGTGAAACTCAAGTTATTCAGTAATGCCTCCAGTGATATTTATAACCATGCAGCCTAACATTATTGATGTCACTTATCTCACATGAAGAGTCGACATAAATTAGTTTTTAGAATTGCGTCTGGCTTTTCCTTTGTGGGGATGAGTTTTCTGCTGGCTTCCGCTAAAATGTCACGCACCTCAAAGATTTTAGCTCAATTAATTTTCGATTTTCTGGGACTTCCACGATACTGACGTTTTGAAAAATGCCTGTTGTAGTTCTGTGCCAAAGACAAATAAAAGCTCGAAACTATAAACGAGTGGTGTCGATACTTTTGGGTAATAAATTATATTTTTAAAACAAACAGTATGAAGTCAACTAAAATACAAAATAATTAAATGCCAAAACTAGGAGAAATGGGAAAGCAGGGTTCTCATATTGCTGGATTCACTATGTTGCGTCAGCGAGTCACATGACTACTGTGACGCCACGTTTCTAGAACTATCCTGTACTTTGGCGAATGCTCTAGTATTTACTAGATATAGGGTAGTCGGGTATATAAAAGAGGGTGACAACATGACAAGGTAATGTGTGTGTGAAGATAGTGA